TAAAAATAAAAATATTTTCAATCTCAGACAGAAATTATTTTTAAAAATGTGTTTGGTAGTTTTATCAAGATATTATTTTCAGTATAAAAAATTTATTAATGTCTCTATCTCTCTGTGTTCAAGAGAGGAGAAAACGAAAACAAAAAATAAAAAACGACAGAATTTTTTTTTCATTTCTCTCATATTTTACACTAAATTAAAAAATTATTTTCATTTCCATTTTATTTTTAATTGTGTCAAACGTCGTTTCTCTCCTATTTTTATTTTTTTTCTTGAAAAACAAAACAAACTCTAAACATAACCTTTGTCCCGTGTTTTTTTTTTATCTACTATTGAATGATTTAAAAAAAAAAGGAGGGGAATAAAATAAACAGAGGGAGAAAAAAAAACCAATGAACCAATATTGCGTATGAGAAATGATTGATCTCGAAGGTCACAAAAGGTGCAGAGTAAATTTGTTAGGCCCGTTCAATTCGCTGATTCGAGTTTAGAATTTAAATTTTTTTACAGTAAAAAGTTTTCATAAACAATTACATCTAATTTTTTTATTACAATAAAAAGTTCTCATATAAAATCACATTTAAACTCGAATCAATGAAGGGAACGAGAATCAAAAATCTTATTACTTTCATATAAAAAGTATTCTACGTTGTCAAAAGGGAGGCCGTACAATTGTTTCTCTCCAATTTATTGTTTCCCTCGAATTTCTTTTCTTCTTTCCATCATTCTCATGACTGGCTGGCCCTCGTCTGTTTACTCCATTTTCATTCCTATGCTCCAAATCGTCTTTTTCTTTCCAAACTCTTGATTCACCGTAATTTGACAAACTAAAGCTCCAAATTTACTGGTAATTTTGATTTCTTCCTTTTATTTCATATAACATGTTTGAACTTTTTGCCCTCTTGTTTTCGTGTTTTTTTTTTTTTTTCTTTTTCCAGTTTTGTTTTAAAGAAATTTGATTCTATTAATCTCTTAGAGTCCGTTTAGTTAACTGATTTAAATTTTTAATTCAAATTAAGATATGACTTTATATGAGAACTTTTTAATGTAAAAAAAAAATTAAATATAATTATTTTTTATAACTTTTTACTGTAATAAAATTTAAATTTTAAATTTAAATCGATAAAATGAATAAAAATGTACAGAGACATGTCAATAATATGCCTTTTGAAGAAGAGGATACTAATGAAGATTTTGAACATGTCAGATGACAAACTGATTGACTAATTAAATGCTCATTTGGTTTGGAAAATTTTTTGGTGAAGTCTTTCCGCCTACAAAGGCCACTGTACAAAAAATTATTGGCAACTGGGAATTGTGGACTTAACATTCAAATAAGAAAAGGGACCCACTTAAAATTAGGCTTGGGTTTGTATGCGAATGTGGTTTGAAAACTCAATGTCACGTGATTGCAAGTATTATGATTTCGAATTACGAAAATTTAGTTTATTTTATCGATTTGAGTTTAGAATATAAATTTTATTATAATAAAATTTTTTTAAAAATAGTCACATTAATTCTTTTATTATAATAAAATTTTTTTATATATGAATTCGAATCAAGAGACACAAAAAAAAATCATGATTGCTAGCACTGCTCATTACGTATTCATGGGCGGGATCCGATAACTCAATGCAACACTCTTTTTAGGGGATTGTGTTTGTTGCCTCCCTCTAATGAAGAAAGTCATTGAATGGTCACGTGGGCAATTAAGTTATTAGTCAACTCACAAAGTCTTTTTTTTTTTCTTTTTTGAAAACTCACAAACATATGCTAACTGTTAAGTAAGTATGTTGATCAAGTACTGATTATCCTTTTATTATAAAAATAAGAATGGAAAGGATTTTTTTTTTTTGAGAGAGAGAACATAATTGTAGTATGTTTGATAGAAGAGAAATGGGTACACCATATTTTATCTCTTCAAGCGTATAGAGGTTTTTTGGGATAAAACTTGTGACGATTTACATGAATAGCTAATGTTCTCAGTTTAAATTGAAGAAATATAAATTCATTGATAAAACATATAGTCTGGATCATTTATTTTCTTTCCTTTTATAATACTAATTGGGATAAAAGAAAAACTTAGGTCTCGTTCGCTTTGTGGATTTCAGTTTTTAATTCGAGTTAAGATATGATATTTTTTTAGAGCTTTTAATTGTAGCAGAAAAAGTTAAATGTGACATTTTCTGAGAACTTTTAACTCTAGAAACCTAGAACTGAAAATTCGAATCAGTGAAATGAACGAGACATTATTTTCTTTACGTTCTTTCTTTCCCTCTCAGCAAATAAAGTGTAAATGGCCAAGCTTCGTGATGACGTACATGTGCGTTTGGTTGGTATATTCGTGTCATGATTTGAATCATGGTTCGTGATTCGTTACAGTATGTTTTCTCACAAAAAATACATGTAAATCGAAAATAATTTTGAATCATAATTCTAAATTCATGAACCAAACGTTAAGAACGAAAATAAATAAAAATGTTCAAAGCGTTGAATTATCTTGTAATAATAATTTTCGGGACAACACTTAAATTGAATTACATCTTGTAATTAAACTAAACTAATTAGAGAGTAGCTTCGTAAATCTACGGGAATCAATTATCTTAGGGAGCATGGTCATATATTAATTGTACTCCGTATATAAAATCACTAACGACAGTCGAATCTGTCTATCACAATCAGCTAAGATAATCTAAAATCATATAGTCGGTGGTGGAGCCTTCAATTTTTAAAAATAATAATAAATAACAAGAAAAAAATAAAAAAAAAATTGTAGTATTGTAGTTTTCAAGAATATCAAATACATATAAAGAAGTTTACAATATGAAAAAAAAAAAAAAAAAAAAAACCTGTTGATAGGACTTTGTCTTGAAACATCATACATAAATTTCTATAAAAAAAAAATAGTGTTTTACATATTTTTTGTTTTGATGTGCTTTTAATTAGAACAATAAGGACTTGTTTGCTTAATGTGTTTTAAACTCATAGTTTTGATTCTGCTACAGTGTTCTAATCTCACAAAAAATTTGAATTTAAAATGTCAAAATTAAGAATCACTAGTTTAAACGCATTGACGAAACATGTTCTAAGTATACCCTAAACATTACAATAGCTCATGAGTAAGTAGAGTAAAGTTGTATAAAAGAAATGTAAAATTAAAATATAAAATTTAGTGGGGGCATGCATGAAAAAATAATATTTTAATAGGGTAAAATTGAAAAGTTATTTTTAAAGGGTCAAATTTTATTTTGATAAAATTAGTGGAGCGGGCTGTCCCAACTCGTCCTTATATAGCTCCGTCTCTGTTTATAGTTGTGATTAGACAGTGTAAAACTTATTCGCTTCTTGAGAGCTGATCAATTCTATCTTTAACTATGTTTAGAGATGTAAATTAGCCATTGAAAGAAAAAAGTATGAAAAATAAATAATTTTTAATACATATTTAATGAATAGTGTCTTTTTCGTATTTCATTTCTTTAATGCCTACAAAAAGATCTCCTTACAAGGAATTCTTTCATTTAGGGGATGTTTAGTTTGAGGATTCAAACTATAATTTGAATCATAGTTCATAATTCGTTACAGTATTTTCTCTCATAAAAAATACACGTAAATCAAAAATAGTTCTAATCACATGATTATAATCTATGAACCAAACGTCTCTTTTTTTTTTTTTTTTATTCTACTGACTTACTAGAAAAAACAAATAGGCGGCCGAAATTAACCAAGTTAATGAGAAAGCTATGCAGGTTCTGAATTCTGATCAGCCAGTATGGGCGGTGGCAATAACATAACAACATTGCATATTCTTGTTCTCTTATGAAAAAAAAAAAGAAAAAGTAAAAAATGCATATTCTTGTCCAAAGAAGAGAGTTTGAATCTTCAGATCAGGTCCCACCTCTTTGTCCTTGTCCACAATGATTAAGCTCGAGATAAGGTTGCACCACATGAGACACCCAATTTTCCACCACCCAAATACTCCGCATTTTACCTCCCCTCCAAGTTTCCATTAATTACTTTTTACATATTTTCCACTCATTATGTAAAAAACTATATTGCATTCATATTTGCTGTAATATTCTTTGAATTAGATTTAATGATGTTACAAGAAAATCGTTAGAGGTTTTTTCGTTTTTTGGGTAATAAACGTAATCGTTAGAGTTAGGGCGTGTTCTTTTGATGTTTTTGAGTTAGGTAACTTGAGTATAGATTTTGAATTGAATTTGAGTTATAACTTGAGTTAAAGTTGTAACGTGAGTTTGTATTTGGTTGTGTACATTTGAGTTATGGTTTGAGATAAGAATATTTTTTGAGTTTGTGTTTAAGTAAGTCAAAACTTGAATTTGTTTTTAAATAGTATTTTAATAAAAACTCAATGTTATTGAAAAATTTTAATAGGGTATATGGGTCTAGTTTTATTCGTCTTTTCGTTGTCAACGCATAGAAAAGAAAATCATCTCAATCAGAATTAAAACGAAAAAGTTATAGCATTTTTAAGAATAGAAAAAATACTATTTATTAACTTCAGTTTGAGTTTCTGAACTCGAGTTGAAGGAGAAACTTGAACTCGAGTTTTAGTTCCAAACTCGAGTTTAAACTCAAGTTCAAACTTAAAAAAACATGAACTCGAATAAAATTATAACTCGAGTTATTTTTTTTCAATTTTTAACTCAAAAATTACCCTGCCGAACAAAGCCTTAGTACGAAGATGCGAACATAAATAAAGCCGCGAAAGAAAAGAAAGGAAAAGAGGGGGGAAAAAAACCATAAAAGAATTCTTTGGTAGGAGAGGATGTAAAAAATTACTCCATCTCGGCAAACAATTATTAACATTTTAGATTTTCATAAATTTTATTATATACTATTAATTTCTTATGAATTTAATATAGTTTGACCGTAAAAAATTATTAGGGTGTTAAAAAATTTTCAAAAATAAGATATTAAAAAGAGTATTTTACCAAGTTTTACTTTCCCTATTTCCACCTCTATTTTTCCATATAAATAAAATGCAACACACCCTTCTGGCCTTCGTCCAAACTTTCTGTTTTCCAAAACCTTCACAACTTGGATAATCCTCACACCCCGGACATTGCCATCTCCGCCGCGGCGCCGCCACTATGAGCATAAAACACTGTGGACACCACCACAACGAGGAGTGGCGGAAGCTCGTCCGCCGCATCCTCATCGGCCTCGCCACCCTCGTCGTCATCCTCGCCATCGTCATCCTCCTCGTGTGGGCCATACTCCACCCCTCAAAACCCCGGTTCGTCCTCCAAGACGTCACGGTCTACAACTTCACCGCCTCCGCGGGCCCGCCCTACGCCCTAACCGCCGTCATTCAGGCAACCATCTCGTCCCGCAACCCCAACGACCGAGTCGGAGTTTACTACCACCAACTCGACGTCTTCCCCTCCTACCGTGGGCAGCAGATAACGGCGGCGCTGCTGCTGCCAGCCAGCTACCAGGGCTATAACGACGTGACCGTCTGGTCGCCGATGCTGCTCGGAAACGACGTGCCGATATCGCCGTACCTTCAGCAGCTTCTGAGCCAGGATCTGAACGTGGGGTCCATGCTGGTGGACATTAAGATCGTCGGGAGAGTGAAGTGGAAGGTCGGTTCTTGGGTTTCCGGTAAGTACCATTTCGACGTCAACTGCCCGGCTTATCTCCAGCTCGGTGGCTCGACCGGGATTATTCCGGTCGGACCGGCGATGAAGCTTCAGTTGCTGCTGCGTTGTCATGTGGAAACCGCTCTTGGTTAATATTGACTTTGATTTGGTTTATTTTTATCTTATTTGTATAATTTCCTTTTTTTTTTATTCAAAAGGAAAAGGAATTAATTTACTTGTGTCGTTTGAACTTTTAATGAGCATATATATAATGATAATGAAATGACTCTTTTGTCGATGGGTCTCGCCATAAAGGGACGGCAAAATCAGCTGACTTATTTATGGTTATTACAAATTAATTTGGTTAATCTTGAGTTTGATTTGGTTCTTCTTATCTAATTTATATTTTTATAACACTGTTTTTTTTATCTAATTTATCTTTTATTTTAATTTACTTCTTCCCGTGTTTTATTTTTATTTTTATATATCATAATGAAATCACTCTTCAGATTTTGGGGTTTAATAAGTCAGATCCTCTTTTTATTCTTTAGAATAAATTCATCAAAAAGGTCCTCAATTTTTTTCTCTCTAAATTAATCTCTATAGTCAAATTTATCTTATAAATGATTCATCAACTAAAAATATGTCTTATAAATAGTCCATCGGTTAGAATTTTGGATGGAATCCGTTAAATTGAATGGTAGATATGATTTTTAAGTTATTTTATTTTACACTTTTGTCTTATTTGAGATCTCTAAATATTTTTTACTTCTCTAAAATTGGTTATTAATATTTTTCTCTACAATGAATCTCTAAATTGTTATTTTTATTGTTTGAATCAAATTTGATCCAAATGATGTTACGTTTTTAAACAGATGCAACACCTCTTACACAGTTAAGATAATTATCCTGAAAATTATCTCATGCGCACTTGTATCAGTGAACAATTGATGGTTTTTTTTTTTTTTGTTTAGGAACTTCTACTACTCCATATATTGTGCATTATATATGGTCTTCTTCTTCTTTTTTTCTTTTTTTAGTAATTGCATTATGGTCAGATTAAGTTATGACCGCTTATTAATTATACAAGTATTAAGATAGAAGAATTTACTGATAAAGAGGGCGGCATTCTTTTGTGGTGTCTTTTTTTTTCAATTGATAAGAAAAAAGTGAAGGTGGAAATAGCCACAAGAAAAAAATAATAATGATAATAGTCCCGTGCAATAATCCCACCATTAAGAAGGAAGAATTTAAATTCGATCTACTTCATGAAAAATAGTTTAGTTATTTCATAACATAAAAGAATAAATAAATAAAAGAAAAAAAATAACTCAAAAATAACCCAAAAATCATAACTATCATACAATATAACGGTTTTCATCCAAAATTTTAACGATGTACCATTTATGAAACACTTTTTAAGTTCATGGACTATTTATGAGACAAATTCAACTATAGAAACTATTTCTAGAGAGAGAAAAGAATTCAGGGACCTCTCATGAATTTATTCCTTTTTTTTTTTTCCCCCTGTCTAAATTCTCTGTTAATTTCTTTTTTCCAAAGGAAAAGAAAGTACTTCCGTTGGGTGACTCTTTTATTCGTAGCTCTAGATTTTATTCAGCACCAAAAGAACAACAAAATTCCTTTAATTTTATATTCTCTGGTTATTCTTTTAGGTAAACTTGATAAGCTTTTATTAATTCACGGAACTAAACTTAATTAAGCTTAATCTGCTGCAACGGGTGGATAAATATCGATTACAGCAGTTTCCTCAACTTTTATTTTTTTTTATTTTGTGCATAATTTTTTTTTTTTGTGCAATTACAAATTTTTCTTCACATTAGTGTCACCAATGAATTATTTTATAATCTTTTTTCTTTACCTTGGTACACCTTTTCCTTCCCTAAGTCAAAACCTAAAATACATTTGGTCTAGACTGATTTCTTAAGTTTGCGTCAAAAATCTTATGTTTACTGACCTTGTTTAATTACGTGAGACATTATAACTTTTTTCATTTTTTAGGTGGGGTATGACTTATTAATTTAGTTATTAATTTAGTGAAGGCAATATTGTAATTTTAAGTTAGTTCATCAAGAATCTTGTAACTGAAATTTTTTAAAAGAATTACCCCGCACTTGTTCTCTGTCTACTGTACCTATATTCAAGAAAAAATAACTATATATGAAATAATTATTGCATCTTTCGTTCTGTGGATTCGAGTTTTTAATTTAAATTAAGATGTCATATTTTTTTAGAGTTTTTAACTATAGAAAAAAAAGTTAAATGCTATATTTTTGGAGAGTTTTTAATTATATAAACTTAAAACTAAAAATTTAAATCGGTGAAATGAACGAGACCTAAATAATTCAAAAGCTGTTACTATGTATTCTAATCAGCCCAAAAATTGTATTATATCGTATATTGGTTTCTCTATTTTTCACTTGAAAAGTAAACTAAAAAATAGTTTTAGCAGTTAAGATAGATCATGACTTCAATCCAAAAGTCGGACGACTATTTTGTTCTTTTTGTTGGCTGGTATTGCTATCTTTAAATTATAAATCGTTGTTAACACGCGGAAATAAAATAAAAAAAAAAAAAGAAAAAATCATCGTTGTCAATGCAAATTTCCTACGAAATTTCATCATAGAAATCAAATTCGAACGAAATTGTTTTTTATTTGCAGTCTTCTTATGGGTTGATTTTATTGCGTATTTGATGGTCATGGCTGACTAGTCCCCGGTACCTACGCTTCAACCCACGAAATCATGGAAAATACCGCAACAACGATTGGCTGATATCATGTGTTATTATGTACGAGGAAATTAATGAGAATGACTTTTTAATAATATTCTAATTTCCACAAGACTTGAGTCCTACCAAAGTAAGTTGACCTTTCCACAGGTCTGTCCACGTTGTTGGAGGACCATATTTTTCTTGGGACCTGGGATAGGAGGGAAAAATTGATACCGTTATTTTTTTAGTGAAATTGTTTTAAATGTAAAGTGTATATTCCAAATAAAGTTGTAAGTTCGGGCCACTTAATCCACTTAATCCACTTAGTCCGGACCCGCAAGACTCGAGCGTTAATATTACGTCGTGTCAGCCTCGCTCAAAGAAATTGGCGGGTCAGATCGGTCCAGCCCTGGTTATGGTAGGGTTGGTCTCATCTCTAAAGCATGCCGGACAAAATCGTCTCATATATTTATAAGGTGGTTTTGAAAAGCAAAATTAATAAAAAAAAATGTTCGAGCCAAGCCAACCTAGCATAAATAAGCTTTGGGCCTCAAAACATCTGCCCAACCCCACCTGAGTGTTTGGCATAGGTCGGGCCGATCCATACACTTAAGCGGGCTAGGCCGACTCAAGGTTTGATTAACAACGAAAGGATTTGGGGCCAGCCCTCCCAAACTTGCAGCTTTAATTCCAAAACAGGAAAATACATAAATGACACCAATTAACAACCAATTTCATCAGTAAACTCGAATGATGCTAAAGGGAATATAATGTGTATCAGGCTCCACAAAAAAGATACTTAAAAAGGTGCGTTAAAAATTGAATACACACATAACACTTGATGAAAAAATCTGATCAAATGATGTTGAGAAACCCATAGCACAAAGGTCACACAAAAACCACAAATGAACCATAGTTTTACAAATGAAAGATCAAAAAGTCAGTCACCAAAATACCATGGAGAGTGGAGCCTTTCAATGTTAGCAAAAGAAAATGGCATAAAAGGTGAGCAATTGGAAATTACACGTTGACGACAACAACAAAGGTCGATGTGTGCACCATAAGATGATTCTACTCCTTTTGCAGACTAAGATCCTGTTCATTTCATCGATTCGAGTTTTGTAACAGTAAAAAGTTCTAAAAAATAGTCACATCTAACTTTTTTACTACAGTAAAAAAACTCTCACATAAAATCACATATTAACTCTAATTAAAAATTTGAATCAGCGAACTAAACGGATCCTCCAAAAGATAGATTGAGACAATGATTACCGCATCCAAAAACACCTCGCAACCAACAGTGATCCCATCCCGACCTCATATTGGGTCTGACAACCCTCCATCACAAATGACATGAACCCTCCTTCTTAACATTCAAAATGAGTTTGCAGATAAAATTTTATACCTAAAAACTCGAGACCCTGACCAGGAATGCTCCTTATTTGTCTCACTCACTCCTTAATTAAACATTCAAGATGAGTTTGAAGATAAAATTTAGTAGCTAAAAACTCGGTGATATATCAAAGTTCCTGACTAAAAATGCCCCTTATTTCTCTCACTCAATCTTTTATTTTTCTTTTTATTCGGGCCGGCGTGCTAGAGCTTCTATTTCTATAATGATAGAGAAATTAATGTCATCATTTCAAACCTTATGATGATACTAATATATTCTTTGTTTTCTTCAATACCTAAAGCTCTTAAGTGTTTTCAGGAAAGGATGTCTTGACCATCTATCATGTATTTTTAATTTCATATAAAAATTTTTCTTTTCATAAATTTAAGGTGTGAAAAGGTCATTTTAGGTCTCGTTCATTTTACCGATTCGAGTTTTATTACAGTAAAAAGCTCTCAGAAACAGTCACATCTAACTTTTTTACTATAGTAAAAAGCTCTCACATAAAGTCACATCTCAACTCGAATCAGCGAACTAAACGGTATACTTTGTAACACTTATGTAACCACATCCCATGAGTCTTGTGTCAAATTCTCGAAAATGTATTATTGGATTAAAGGCTCAAAGAACAAGGGGAAAAATCAATCCCCTTAGGGCCCGTTCGGTTCGCTAATTCGAGTTGAGATGTGATGTTGTGTGAGAGCTTTTTACTGTAGTAAAAAAGTTAGATGTGACTGTTTCTGAGAGCTTTTTACTGTAATAAAATTTGAATTCTAAACTCGAATCAGCGAAAAGAATGGGGCCTGAGAAGGAGATGCAAAGACGAGAAACACCTCACTGAACAATTACTCCATCAGAAACGTGAACTCTATATTTGTTAAAGAATTAGCAACCCAAATAGAGCATCTCCAATACAGCACTAAATTATGTCAATACTAAATTTTAGTATTTATGCAGGAAAAATCATTCTCCAATACAGTGTTATTCTTGTTGCAATATTTAGCATATTCTATACTCTACAGAAAATTCGCACTAAACATAGCATATGTCAAAGTTTATCATTTAATTGCTATTAGTTGCTGTAGTGATTTTTTTTCATTTAAATATTACATTATTAGTATTTTTCAAATTATTTTAACTTTAGATACAAAAAATTAATTTAATACCTTTTGTTTTGAATAAAAAAAATGATCAATTTGATACTTTTTGTTATTCCAAAACATCACAATCATATTTTATCCT